ATAACGACTTAGTACCTGAGTAAAGCCCTTCGGCATAAATCCTATCCTTATGACGATCAATAGTACCATCCGCAAAAAATTTCAAGGTGTGAAAAACCAGCGACAGCCAACAGACTTCACCCACCTCTGAAGATAAAGAGACAAAATCCCACATATGATTATGCTAAAGAACATCCATCTCCGTCTGCATGACAAGAACCTACTGGGGCTCCCTCATAACCTCTGAAACAAAGCGAGAAACTGGCGTATCTGATAAGGCCATACTATAAGCTCGAAATGTAGGAGACAAATCACTATAAAACACAGAAGTAGAGATTGGATATAAAGTCCTGACAATCCAACCATAACGAACAACTGGACGACGATCACGCTGCGGATAACGACGCCCTAAATCATCATCCTCCACTGACAATGTCTCATCAGAAAAAATAACCAACTCAGTACCTGCAATCTCATCAGTACTAACAAGTGCATCAATATGCTCAAAGAACTGAGAAGTATTACCTACATCACCTGAGGTAGAAGGGACATCAACAGCGGGATGAGAACGAGGGCGACGAACATAAACCTACAAAGAAAGAGAGACTGATGACTCTGTACTGACAGGGACGAGTAGCTCTGGAGAAGGAGAGATTGATGACTCTATACTAATAGTCACCAATGGCTCTGGCTCCTGCGATAACGAAAAATCAAAAGGGAGTATCATCAACTAGAAGGGCAAATATAAGACTGAAAGAAAAATAAGGAATGTGCTCAAGAAAGATAACATCTAGACTGTGATACATACGGCGCCATATAGAATCATAACACCGATACCCCTTAGACTGATTACAATAGCCAACAAAGACACAATAAATCGCTTTATCATCAAGCTTATGGCGAGTAGGAGACTGATTCTGAACAAAATATGTGCAACCAAAAACACGAGGGGGAACCGAAAAAAGTGTCCGCTCAAGAAATAAGACCTGTAAGGGAGCCCTATGCTGAAAAACACGACTCGGTGTACGATTACACAGAAAGGTAGAAGTCAAAATAGCAAAATGTCAATAAGATTTTGGTACTCTCATACCTCTAAGCATACAACGTACCATCCCTATTAGACTCCTATTTTTCCTTTCAACAATTCTATTTTGCTCAGAAATATATGGACAAGTGAGCGGCTGAAAGATACCTTGAGAGGAAAGGTGAGACACTAAGGCATCGGACACATTCTTTGGTATTATCTGAACAAAGAGCATAAATAATGACATCGAATTGTATCTTAATCATTTAGATAAACTGTGATGACAGGGAACACATCAAATTTCTTATGCAAAAAGTAGATCCAAGTACAACAGGTATGGTAATCTATAAATGTCACATAGTATCGAACACCTGACAAAACAGTAACAGGAGAAGGTCCCCAAATATCAGAATGTATTAGGTCAAATGGCTTGGGTGACTGGTGCAGGCGAGGAATATAACTGGTCCGAATATGTTTTGATAGGGAACATATAACACAGTCAAGTTTACCACCAATACAAGTATTGCTCAAAGCAAGAAATAACATACATAAATATTTAAAATTTGTATGTCCAAAACGATCATACCACAACTGAACAGTTTGTGATGAAAAATCATAACGACAAGTATCAGACAAGATACTAGCATGCAAGTTAGGAACAGATAAAGACAAAGTAGGTGCAGGTGATAGAGGTGGAGGAACTGGTAAAACTAGAGGTGGATCACCTAGATAATACAATTCATCTCTCTCATGTCCCCTGATAATAATCTTCTTGGTACTCAGGTCTTGCAAATAACACGAATCAGATAAAAACACAACCGCACAGTGAAAATCTCTAACTAACTGATGTACGAATAATAAATTCATGTCCAATTTTGGCGCATGAAAAATTGAATGTAATGTAAAGCCATCTAGGAGGCAGACTGTACCCCTACTAACAATAGGGACATGTGTCCCATCTGCTAGCTAAACCTGTGCATATAACTACTCGTCAAAAGTGGTGAAATGATAGGTCTCACCTGTCATATGACCATTTATACCCGAATCCAGCATCCAAAAGGGAGATGGACTGACACAAGCATGAAAGGCACGAGGTATACCTGTAGTAGTGGCAGTAACAGTAGTCGGACCCTGAGAAGTTAGGACGGATATAAGTATATCCAATCAGAAAATGATAGCATCCATTTCACTCTACCAAGGAAGAGCTGCAGCATGAACGACAGTAAGTGGTGGTACCTCAACAACAGCAGCAGTACGACTACGAGGAAACAGCTTAAGCTCTAGATAAAACTTCCAGCAAATAGCCCAGAGATGACCTGGTCGACCACAATAATAACACCAACGAGAACCAGGAAGTACATTCCAGGTGGAAGTACTAACAGCAGAGATCTCAAGAGTAGAAGTTTCATATCCCTCAATAGTAGCCATAACAACAATAATACTAGAGCACCCGCGACAGAAAAATAACTCTAAGATAAATAGAGGGATAAAATAAAGGAGAACAATATACCTTCAGTCAAACAGTAGCGACAGATAAAGAAGGTCTAAAAAACTCCCAAATAATAAGGTCATGGTGCCCAGAAATCCAATAAATATAAATAAATGATTTACTGCATCAAGAACATATCAACGAAGACAAGGAATGCGAAGGACGAAGCCACAAAAATCACGACCAGACAGTGGGCAGTAGGCAGTGGGCTGTTCTGTGGTATATTGGGTTTGGGCTAGACTAGACTGGTTTAGGACTGGATTGCACTGGGCTGGACTGGTTTGAGTTGTAGTGATTCGAACAAGTTCTGATCTCCTGACGTCAAACGGACTTGGGCTTTAACAAGATTTGGGCTGAATAACATCAAAACCCATATCCAGCATAAAATGGAAACAACATAACCCGATTGACGTTGGGTATCGTCGTCAACATCTGTTGCTGCCAAACAAGAAAACCCTACCAATGCCTCTGGTCAGCAACGAAACGGCATCAACCCAGTGACACTCAACAACAATCAAACCCAATAGCCTCTTTGGTGATCAATTTAATCAATCATCAACAACAGCAACTCAACGATGGAAAACAACGGCTTCACCTTGACGAAGAATCAATAACAACAACTCAACGGTGGTCGACAATCGACAATTCCACCTCGACGACGAACAGGGAGTCAACAGTGATGATTTCCTTCTCGACGGATAGGGACTGTGGGTTGGCTAATTTTAATATAGGCAGTCGGTTACTGGTTTTCTATGTTAGAGTTTGTCGGTTTGTTGGAGATTGTCATTGTCAGTTTGTATTTTTGCTGACTGATTTCGATGGGTGTTGTATAGGCAGTCGATGTCAGTTTTAATGGAGGCAGTCGGTGCAATGGGATGTTTTGATAGAGGCAACAGGCTGGTTAATGTGATTGTGGGTTGGTGATTGCCGGTGAGTATGACAGAGAAGGTTAGGGTTAGGGTTAGGGAATGGCTCTGATACCAACTTGAAATAAATGTGAGCAAAGAAAGAGATACAAACTAAGTGTAGAGCCCACATATATATAACCAATAAAAATTACAATAAGGGTAAAAAGGTAAAAAAGAAAAACTATAATAAACCCTAATAAATTAAGCTGAAACCAATATTCCTGCACCTTTGAATCTCGGAAGACAAATATCCAGTTTAATATTCTTGGGATTGCCTCAATCAAAGTCTTGTAAGTATCATTTTCATTTACTGCAATGACAAAAAAGAACATAGATTATAACTTCCATGTACAAAAACATTTAGTGCTTTACTTGCACACTTCGCCAGTTATGAAAAAACAAAATAATAGGAGAAGATGGCCCAATGAGAGCATGGTTTCACAATGGCAATGTAGTGATGAACCTGACGATGTTTCAATTAGAAATGGTAAAATGCAGAAAAGAAATTTTCTATTTATCTCCACCTCCACATGCATACAAGCTCTCAAAATTTTTTGAATCACCACTCTCGCATATTCTTCCAAAAATTCTTTTGTTGGCAATTCCCTGAGCAGACCGGCCTGGAATATGTTTTAGTCAGTATAATATATACATAGCCCAAAACTTGCTCAGACCAAAGGACAACATTGTATTTGACAGTTTTGACAAGAGAAATTTTAAAAAACTATGAAATCATTGAACCTGAAATATCTGATGCAGTAAGGTACCGATCAATGCTGCGGCGGAATATTCGCTTTTTTTTATCCTCTCATCCAGGACAGTACGCCTTGGACAACTAAAACTAGCAGCAACCTAGTAGGATGTTATCACATCCGATAAGAAGCACAAATCTAGTGATCAGAAATTTTTATAAATAGCAGCCAGAAAAAAATAATGCTAAACAATCTTCTAATGCTGGCACTGAACGAGCCAGATAAGCATCATGTCCAAAAGTAGCCAAGTAGAAAAAGAGCTAGTCAGAATACCCGAGTTCCAGACACCAAAATATCTGGGTGGACAACTAGAAAATTCTTGTCGCGACTCACGGCACACTTTCCCTGGCCATCGAAGTCACCAATAACATGAACCGTATCTCCAGGTGCAATCACACTATAAAACCTGGAGGAAAACAATAATATATACAAATGCTGCGATCATATATCCCATGGCATTTATATAACCAGTACAACTCAAATAAACCAATATAAGTCTTCAACACAAAAGCTCTTGGTGAAAGATCGAAGTAGCAGAATTTATATTAAGAGGTACACATAGCTATATTTAGTTTCTTTTGGTGTTTAGAAAAACATCAGACACTGAAGGCAATAATGTGAAACTGCAACTAGGATAAGACAATAAGATGCATGTTGCTTTAGAAACAGTCACATTGAACTATTCACTGTAATAGAATAATTCAATGAAGCAAGAACTCAAGATCAAGAAACTGTCATCCAAATACTGAAAGGTTGATGCTAATTCTATGGAAGCTTCTTTAGAAAAATAAGTTATTATAATTTACTGTGGCATGTGACTGGAACCCATAACTAGATATAGAAAGTTCAGATCCATCTATCGATGTAGTGTCAATAATTGATCCCAAAGGGATATGGAATAACTCACAATTAAAAAAAATTCCAGGACTAAGTCCAGAAAAAAATAAAGGAATACTATGGAAAAAACACAATTCCAACTACCTACCATTCGTCCCACAAGTGCACAGCCCGCTCCTCTCCATTTTGCTCATTCAGTAAGCGCACAACCTGGAAGCAATAGCTTAATTCAATCACGTTCCCATCTCCAAGGAGACTTTGAAATGAGTCAGGAATTCAACACAGTGCAAACCTTAAAAGGGTATTGAGAACCAGATGCATCAGAAGGTCCACGTTTCTCACAAACCTACAGCAAGATATGATGCAAAAGAATTCAAATCCAGGACTGTCATTCTATAGTCTGAAAGAACCATAAAGTAACAGAATGCTGAAGCATACCTCCAATACAAGAAAAAAAAGATTTGGAGGTTCCCTATTGATCTTTTCCGTTGAATCAAGTGCCTGACCTTTGATAAGAGGATCAACCTTGACAAATCTCTCACTGCCAATTCTTCCTTGAATTTTGGACAAGTGTGCCTCCGTATTTTTACTACATTCAGGCTCTTCAACTGAAATTACATCTTCTACTTGATCTAAAAGTTCAATCAATGCCTGACAAATAGACAATTAATATAACTACAACAAGATGCTTTAAGCATTTATTTTACATCAACTAGATCAAATATTTCTAAAGAAATGCAGAAGTACCAACAAAGAGCAAGATTAATAACATGACATGACAATCAGAGAGTAATGAAATTGGCATATAAGTACCTTTTTGTGTTGTCTTGAACCCAGCTGATTGGACACTCCATTAGGATCAACGCCATCAGCAGGCTATACTTCAATTTGAAATCAACAATCAAAAAACAATTTTGAAGTAAGCCAAAAGGTATACTATACCATGAAAAGATAATTACCTTCTCATGGCAATATGATAGAGACGGAGGAGTTTTGAATGGACTCTGACTGATAACCACTCCAGAGTTGTTCTCAATATTTACGTTTTCATTGCTTCCATCTAAATTCAGATCATGACCTGGGCCAACCTTTTTCAAGCTAACCCTATTGCACAATATCAAAGGTTTTCCAGCAGCCTTCAGTGGAGGCGAGCAAAGCCACTTTTCAAGCTTACCCGCTGAGCCAGGAGAGGTCTGTACATTGGAGTGATAACAACCAATCAAGTAGTGCCCTTACAAAATAAAAGAAGCAATATCAAACACAGGAACATGCCTTCTTCTGTGAGCAATGATGGAAATCCAAAGAGTTGAACCGTGAAGAATCTGCCAACACCTTCACCATCTCGGGTAAGTGCTTTGACATCGCATTGAGTCGCTCATTTACTGGTGAAATTTTCCATGTGATGTCATCACCTCCATCATCCTGACTTTGTTTTATCAGCTAAAACAATGAAAATGCACCAAAAAATCAAGATTTTCCCATCCACAAAAAGGAAGGTCAAAAAGCCAATTCTTAACTGTAAGCAAATAACATGAATTTTTGGAGACTCCCCCATCTGTATAGACGAAAACACATACAAATTTCAGAAAAAAAGAAGGTAATTACCATTCCTGGTGAAAACTTGAATCGCTTGAGGGGCACCGACTTGCAAATTTCTGGCGACACCTCCGATTGGTTCTCCGCATCAATTACAACAGATAATATATTCTCAGTAGGCGTATTTTGAGAAGGATTATTCGTCTCTGTGGTCCACAAATTCACCCCATTTGCAGAATTCCGAGCTTCCAAAACCACTTTAGGGTTTTGACAAGTCAAACTACCATTATCCAAAGCAAAATTAACCGAATCATTGTTATTTTTAGGGTTTTCAGGTGCTGAGATGACATTAGATGGGTCGTTCTTTTCAAAATTTAGTGAATTCCTAGGGTTTTGAAGGGTTGAAATATGTTTTACTGGATCAGCTGATTTTGAATTGGGTATAGGTTGAGGGTTTCCGGAAGTGGAAAGTACAGAAGTTGGGGCGTTTGGGGCTTTTTTGGGTTCTTGAGAGAGGGAGTTTTGGGTGTGGCGATGGAAGAAGTGTTGGATTCCGAACTTTGATGGCTGAGATTGTTGTTGATTCTGGTTCTGGTTCTGGTTCTGGTTCGATTTCTTCGATCCTGAGGTAGTTCTCTTTCTAGGTGGCATTTCCAATCTCTTCTACTACTACTTCTGTGACTACTATACTAGGGTTTTGATCTGCTTAGCTTCTAAGGACTGCACTGCTATGTATGTGTTCTCATCTGCAAGATAGAGAAAGAGAGAGAGAGGCTATATTGGAATGTACCTGTTTCCCGCCTAAAGATTCCAAGGGCGGTTTGTTTTTCTATGTTTACGAGGGAGAGATTTTGAACCGTTGGATCAATATAAGCGGTGGAGATGCATTATTTGGGGGAAATAAGCTGCAGTAACTCTTTGATAAATCATATGCGTTCCATCTGCAAATAGAGGGGTAAAATAACCACTAGCGATATAATTTTTTTGGGGTTAAACAATTAGAGATTTATCTCTAATGAATATTTTAATTCTGACATAGATGATCTGTCTTTAATCCAATAAGATAAGAAATTAGACAAAATATGCGTAAGTTGATCCGAACACTCCTATCCGTTAAACTAAAAAAAACAAACTTGTTTCAAATTAAGTACATCATGGCAAAAACTACGGTCATAGTCCACGTGATGGAGTAAATATTTAGTGCAACGGTTATACCACATTAATATTATCATCTGATTGAATCTTTTAATGATAACTCAACAATTAGATAAATTAAACCCCACCTCTTCAAATAACACATCATCCATCTAAACTAGTAACTGTTATATATTTAAGGGCTTATGTACCTACTTTACATCATGTAATAATGTTGACATGTGTAACTACTCAGCGTGATGTCCCGAGCACCCATCGGGCCATGGAACTATCCGCCCGGTAAACCTAAGTGGTGGGTTGGTACGTTTTATTAATAAAGATTTGATTGGTTTGTCAGTGCAATTAAGTTTTTTAAACTTATATAATAAAGTAGTTTATGTCACGCTCCATCTTAGTCTCCCAAGGATGAGACGTGCCTAAGTTTTTAATACATCTGTTTATGTATTTATATAATCTAGATTAATAAAATATCAATTAATCTCACAGGTGCAACAACATCACTCATCACCTTAATCGTTAAATATGATGGTAATACTTGTTTTATAACATGTACCATTTTTGTTTTCCAGGTTATATATATGTACAAAATTTTACATTCACATAGCATACATCACAAAGTATGTTGTTGAGTCTATTTAAAAATATATACATCATTAACCTGTTATAACAATCTTTTATTCAATATAATATACAACCTAAGTAATATCATATCAACTTCATTGAACTACTCCGGACTGAACTCAATTCACTAGACAATACTCAATCAATTGGACAATGGATTGATCTGTAATTTCATTTATAATACTTGAAAATGATAACTTATAAAGGTGTGAGCTAAATCACGCGCTCAGTGAGTATACATGTCGTATATGAAATAAAAATGATAATAATACACATAAGTAGGTAAATATTACGTAAATATACGTATCAAACAACAATATCAATCCAATTCAAAAGAATTCACAAGTCACAACATATTCATACTACCTCTCTTCGGGTAATCGATCCCACATAGATTTGTGTTTTTCGAACCTCCTGGAAATACCACAATGCTAGCACACCACTGCATGCCTAGTGATTAGGCATCGACGCTCCTGTCTCAAACAGTGCGCCACATTCCACAATACACAATATACAAAACAAAGCATCATTCCATGACAAAAAGCAGATAGCACATAATCATGAAGAAATACTATTCAATTATATCATTTAATATCGTCTTATAATAACATTTTTAAAACATATAAAAATATACAATCATCTCAAGTGTACAGAGCTAGGAGTTTTCGAACCTACCGGTGGATCCCTTCGATATTTCTGTATCTGTCTCTATGCCAACTGTCCTACCTATTCCATCTAACACACTTGTAATTACAATATCAACGTGTTTATCACATTGAATAATTAATCATGTACCGCTGCATGCAAAATGATTCAACCCAAAGTGCCACGGTTACCGCATTGTTCACTCGTATACTGACACATTAGATTTAGGGATCATATTTCTTCCTCAAATCTTCAAAATCACTCACACTAATCACAATTAATAATAAGTAGGTCAAACACATTGACCGGAGCCCTATTTCCACACATTTCAACCCCGAATTTTAAAAATTATACTTCAGGCATTTCGTACATTTCGCGTCATATATTATATTCATTTGCATTCAAAATTTACATTATCACATCAAATATCAATAAAAAATGCAGCATGCAAAATTTTGAATCATTTGGATTAAAATTCATACAAGCGATAATAATATTTAGAAATCAGGATTTTGACATTACCGACATCTATTTCCCATTTCTATCGTGCGTTTTTTTTAAATCAATCACACTTAAACTCACACACTCATTAAATCATGCAAAACAACCCCCCTAATTGAACCCCTAAACTCTCCATTCCACACCCAAAAACCTCAATTTCAAGCTAGCCCCCAAAGCATCAAAATATTCATTTTTCACATTTTTCTCACATCCAATTAAATACCCATTTAAAAACCCCTAAATTATGTTCAACACACTTAAACAAACCCAAACAAAATCTATTTTGAAATTAAAATAAAGCAGCCTATTAAATTAAAATAAAACAACTCACCTATAACACACACATGCTTAAATTTTAATCACACATACCCAGACTCTTACCTTCACCTTCTTCTTGTTTTCTCTCACTTTTGGTTTGGCATGGAGTCCCCCAAGTTCTTATTTCTATTTTTTTTTCCTTTCTTCTTCCTCTCTTTTACTCTCCCTCACTCATAGTTTAAAGTTCAACAAACCAGAACACGCACACACACAATGGCTTGTGTTTTAAACACACACACTTTCCTACACCTTAAAGTACACACACATTTTCTATACCTTATCAAACACACACACTTGTTTGTATTTTAAACACACACTTTACTACACCTTAAAGCGCACACACACACACATGTTACACACACCTTGCACTTAAAAATGACCACCCTTGTTCATATGCTAAAGTTATCTCATGCAACTTTAATAATTATATTTGCTTTCCCCCAAATTCTTAAGTGATTTCAAAATCAACTCAATACTATTTTCATACACAAAATTATATCTAATAAATAATTTCACATAATTGTAATTAGTCCACATAATTATGGTAATATGTATGCAATGCATGGTTGGGTCTCACAGTATAATTGTTTGTCTTAATCTTTTTGCAACTCAAATAATTTTGATCTGATTATACTAATTAGAATTTTATTTTTTTTACAACCATAAAACTCTCACATGTCATATAAGGGGCTATTTGATAACAAACACTTAATAAATTAACCTCGTTTGATAACCTAAAACCCATACTATTTAATATTTTAAACATTTCTTAAACATAAGCTAAAATTTTAAGTAGTAAGACACGTATTTACAACTATATGCTGAAAAATGTTAGTTAGTAAGAAATTTTTCAATTTCTCATAATGGACAAATATACCCTCACCACCATTGTATCATCGCCGCCACCACCACTACCACCACCGTCGTCACTATTACCACCCACCACTATTGTGCCACCGTTACTATTACTATCGCTGCCATGACTACTACCATTGTCGCCACTACCACCATCACCACCACCATCGCGACCACAACCACTATATTGTGTTGCCGCCACAACTCCTATCATTGCTACCACTGCCACCATCATTGTCGCCACCACATCCGTCACCTCTACCACCATTGTGTTATCGTCACCACCATTACCCTTATGTCGTCGCCGTCGCCACTGCCAATGTGTTGCAACCACCACTACTATCATCGTCGTCACCATTATCACCACCATTTGTGATGATGGTGAAATGAATAAGACAGTTGCAGAGAGATGATTAAAGAAAATAACAAAAGTAGAATAATAATAATTTTTAAACTTCAGCTTCTTATAATTGTTAAACAATTTGATTAAATTTAATACTTAAATTTTAGTTGATACCAAAAGTCTGTGAATTAAAAAATTTAGCATTCAACAATCAATTTTCAATGTTCAACTTTCAGTTTTATCAAACACCACCTAACTTTCTATTGTACTATTATTATTTTTTATTTCCCCTATGTTGTTTTTGTTATTATTTACTCAATAAAACAGATAAAACTACATGTTATGTAATTATTTATTCTATAACACTAATTCAAAACTTTTATAAATCTAATGACATGTATTTTCTACTTGTTTCTTAATACGTAAATAACACTTGATGTAAATAAAAAATAGCACATTGACTATAAATATCAAATAATATTCAACACGAAATGAATCTTACATTTTATATTAATATATAATTTTATCAAAAAATGACATTTTATTTTTTTCTAATTTATATTAAATTTTGTCAAATTAATATCAAATTAATTTTTATTGTTATCAAATTAATATTGAAATTAATTTAATCAATTTTTTGGAGTATTAAATTATATCAATTTTTTTGGTACTAAATTATATCAATTTTTAATTTTTGTTGATACTAGATTTGGAGAAAGGCAATTGTAAAAATAATAAAAAATTTTGGAAAGAAATTATTAATTTCTGTTAACAACACTGACTAAAGGGAGACATAGGAAGTCTTTGTCCAATGAGTTTCAAACCTTAGAGGGTCTCCATGTTATTTATAAAATGTCAGGAGGTGTCTATATAATATTACCAAAACTTAAGGGGGTGATCGTGATTTTTACCCTATTTTTAATTAAATATTAATTTTTTATTATTTTATCTTAAAAATTTGAATTATTGTATTTCTAATAAAAATAATTATTGGTTAGGAGAGTTTGTTGATAATAAAAAAAGAAATGTATGTGAGTATGTTTTTGTGTATATTTATATATGGAGGATTAGACATTTAGTGATTAAATTTATGGGGTTAAATAGTGATAATGATGATAAATTCATGAGTTTTATAAATGACGATGATTTAGTTGATCTTATTTATCATTTAAAGATTGTGAATTAATTTTGGTCTGGTAGTATTTTTTTTTTTGCTTGAGGTATTTATTACATGAGAGTAGGGTGGATTCAAAATATGGTGGTTAGGTTTATAATTATGTTGTATTATTGAATTAAGTGGTAGTAGAGATGATAAATTCGTGAGTCTTATAAATAAATAAGATTTTATTTATTGCTTAAAGATTGTAAATTTCAATTGATTATGTTGCTATTTATTTATTTTTCAAAGGCATTTATATATATGATGTTGTTTTGAGTAGTTTTTATATATTTTCATAACAGTTCTATTAATATGGAGGATATAGTCGACTATATATTTCGAGTTATTTTAAAAGAAAAAACTGATATGCATATTTTTAGATCATTTTTTTAAAATTTGAATAATTGTTTAAGTTATTTATTTATTTATTATATAGTATCTTTAGACATGAGTAATTATGAATAGATTTAAATAAGAGTACAATTATACATTTACCCTATCTTATGTTTTAGAAATGGTTAGATAGAAATAGAATTGTGTGGGTCCTGCCATGTGACATTAAACTCATGTATCACTTTTTTGAAAAATAAAAAAGTTTTAAGTTATTAATTTTTAGGGTTAATCTCATTTTGCACCCCGAAAGATCGTTCGAATCTCAATTTATACCTCTAAAAATTAAAAATCTCAATTTGTACCCTCAAAGATAGAAAATTGTATCAATGTACACCTCCAAAGATCAAAAATCTCAATTTACACCCTCAAAGATAGAAATTTATATCAATGTACACCCCCAAAGATAAAAAATCTCAATTTACACCCTCAAAGATAGAAATCTGTATTAATGTGCACCTAAAACTAAATTGATAAATTATACCTAGATCCTCTCATGTTTGTCACTTAATCATTTGAACCCCTTCACATTTAGAATATTACCCGTACATCTCATGACGTTTGTACATGTGTAAACATAACCAGTTTCGTTGATATCTATTAATATAATCGTTAAAAAATATGATTTTATCCTAATAAAAAATTATAATTTCATATTACCCTTTATTTTGTGGATTCGATATACTCTAAAGTTCAAAATCAAACTTACCATTTGAATGTCTAATAGAATGTAGATATTTATAAAAAAAAAAATATGAAAAACATTATATAAATATCTACATTTTATTAGACATTCAAATGATAAACTTGATTTTGAACTTTAGAGTATATTGGACCCATAAAATAAGGGTAATATGAAATTATAATTTTTTATTATAATAAAATTATATTTTTTAACGGTTATATTAACAGATATCAATGAAAATGGGTTATATGTTGTACGTGCATAAATATCATGAGATGTAGGAGTAATATTCTAAATGTAAAGAAGTCAAAATGATTAAGTGACAAACATGAGAGGATCTAGGTATAATTTATCAATTTAGTTTTAGGTGCATAATGATACAAATTTATATATTTGAGAGTGCAAATTGAGATTTTTTATATTTGGGGTGCACATTGATACAAATTTCTATCTTTGAGGGTGCAAATTGAGATTTTTGATCTTTGGGAGTGCACATTGATACAAATTTCTATCTTTGAGGGTGCAAATTGAAATTTTTGCTCTTTGAGGGTGTAAATTAAAATTCGAACTATCTTTCGGGGTGTAAAATGAGATTAACCCTAATTTTTATCCAATAAAGTGTTTAAATAAATTTATAATTTATTCATGTCTTCGGTAAAAAAATATTATTATGAATATTTTATAATAAAATTGATTAGTATTGCATTACAAATGCAAAACGACACGACTTTTGTAAATTCAGACTTAATAAGATGATTTGTTATTTAAATTCAAGACTTTTGTGTCTTGATTGACACATCTAAAAGGAAAGGATTGTAATAAAGACAAACTATCATCCATCACGTATAGTGCACATAATTTATATTTGTCTCCACCACCACTCTATGCCACTCCAACCCTTAACTCTATACCCATCCCAACCTTAATATTATTAAACAATTGCTAACTAATGCTCTAAAATAATTTAAAAATAAATAAATATGAAATAGTTAAGAAAGATGATGATAAATTCAAATTTGAAAGTAGTTTTTTTTAATTGAATTTGAATGTTGTTTGAAAAATATATGAAATAGAGTCACTTATGTACTATCTACCTACACATAAAATATAAAGATCATTTTGGGTTCAAATGTTCACGTGGTTAGAATTTATTGGATGTTGATTAATTTTTATTTATTTTTTTCAAAAAAAAAGGGGGGACGAACGACTAATAAATAGTAACCTTCTTGGGCGTGATCACGAGGGATCTTCCAATGTGAATATTGGTTAATTAAATCATTCAAAATTATATTAAATTAGAAATTATGGAGGCAAGGCTTCTCAATGTCCCTCCCTAAAAAATTGCTTGTTTTATAGATAAAGATAGATTAAAAAATACTGTTTATAGTCATAATAACCTATGGTATAGAGGAGAACTATAATTTTCACGAATGCTAGAGGTGTGTGTACATATTTTACAAAACAGCGAGGAGGTATATGTAATTTTTTTAATTTAGTAAGATGTTTTTTGGGCTAATCTTGCTTTCCACTCCTAAATATACTTAGACTCTTAATTTGTATCCTAAAATTTTAAAAATCTTAATTTAGACCCTAAATGTAATGAATTGGTAGAATCATGGACCTGCTTAGACTATCATTCAATTTTTCGTTATAAATTTAAGCACATGAATTACAAGTGCTTCACACATGGAACTTATATATAAATTCACAAACTGTTAGCGCCTCATTTGAGTTATACGTGATAGGGTTAAACTCTATCTACCTAATGAAATTATATTTTCAATACAAAAAACGATGTCAAATTAATCATAGACGAATATTTGCAACAATAGACATACTTCATTCTCATGGCTAGAATACTTGCACCTCATTTGTTTTAATCTATGATGAAAAATTGAACGACAGTACGAGTCAGGTTTACATTATTACTAATTTATAATATTAAGGATATAAATTTAAATTTTTAATTTTTGAAGGTACAAATTTAGAATTAAATCAGTGTAAAGTGAGAATCCCCCCTCCCCCTCTTTTTAGTTTCCCTCCAGGTGGAACTAAAGCCCTCAAAAACCAGGTCCATTATCTGATTCCCCCTTTTCTGGTGCCCGCCACTCTCACTCAGGCCAACACAGCCATCAGGTTTGCAACTTATCTTTACTTTTGTGATTTTTAGAGATTGTTCTATCAGTTTTCCTTCATGTTTGATTCGATTTCTCAACTGGGTTTTGTGTGAAATGAAATGGGTTCTTAATATTTGTGTTAGATGTTGTTTTGGTTCATATATTGATTTTTTTCTCTCGGTTTTGTGCTGATTTATGCTGGTAGAATTGCTTTTTTCTTGTTCTTTCTCGTTTTCTTATTGTCCCGTGTGTTAGTAATTTGCCATCTTTCCATGGCCCGAGTCGTAGAAAAAGGGACTGACCCTTTACTACACTTATTCCTAACTTTGAAATCTAATTGGGATACATATTCCGACCTCAAATAGTTGGGATTAAGGCTGTGTAGAGTTGACATTGCGAAATATTCTGCGATTGCTGAAGAAAGGAGAGCCAACCAGAAATGGTTTTTAGTTTAGGAGGGGTTTGATGGGTTTTAGCGCTCTATGCGAAATGGGTACCCATCAGAGGTTCAAACAAGTGTAGAGGTGTGCAACTTTATCAATTGCAAAGCCGTTTTGGTTTTGGAAATATAGAATATCAAAATCATACATATAACTGTTTTGATGTGTCAATTAATTCTACTTTTTTGGTTTTTTTTTTTCTGATAGGTTTGTTTTACAGGAAAAATCAGGAAATAAAATGTTCTCACAACTAAATCTTGTTTTTAGAAATATGTTTGCCAAACAGATAACTTGCCATATAATTATGCACAGATGTTTAATTCCTAGATCCATGGACTGATTTTCGAATTGATGCAGTGAAATGGTTGATGATTTCAGTATCTTTTTTTTGTTCACTTGAAGTACATAAAGCAACTTAAAATCACTTTCTCGTAGCATGGTATTTATATATTGACTATTGTGGAAATTAATCAGACATTGTAAAATAAGCTCGATGAATTATCATTCGACAACCATCATTTGTATGTCCAATAGTGATATGATCTCATACTTGTTATTTTAAGCTTAAGACTGTGGTATGTTGTTGCAGATATCATCACAAAGCTAGTTGCAATATGTGTACAGAAAACTATAAAAGATTGGGTTAATAATTCCAAATCTGTTCAACAAAGAAAAGGATCTCATAATTCCAATTACCTGGAAGTGATATATAATGGATTTGGTTAAGTAAATATTCTGTTATATTTTATTTTTACAATTTTAGTGGCAGTTGTAATTTGAACTTATATTGTTTTTATTTGTTCTGTTTTATTGTTAACTGGAAATTATAGGGCAGAGTAGTGGATGGCTTTATGAGATGTTCTCTGGAGCATTGTAATTTATTGTTTTCTTGCTTGACTTATTTTCTTATTTGAACGCAGATAGGAACAGAAGTCAAGGAATTCTCATCTGTTCAGTGTTAACACAAAGAAGCAATTAGTTTTGTTATTCAAGACATTTTGTTTCTGAATGTCTGTATCTGAGGATATTGAGCTGTAGTTTTGTTGAAGTTGGAACTGTGTATGGTTTATTGTTTTGTAATCCTTACTTGTGTTTAGTTTTAGGTGCAAAATTTTCATATAGAGAAAGGCTGTATTAATTTCATTATAAAAAGGTAACAAAGAGATGGAACAACCACTGTTTTGTCATAGAAGAGGAGCTGAAGCAGTGCTAACCCTTCAACCCAACACGTCAATCTCCATTGCCTATCACCCACGATTTGGTCCTCACGATGACCTAATTCTGCTTGAGCTTGATGAGAAGCTTATCCCTGACATCCTTCATGAAAGGTATGCAATAACTTTAATCCAAATTCTGGAGTGTCATTTTACCCCCTTGCTTTGTTTGTATGGTTTCATCATTGCCAGAGTTATTCTTAAGATACTCATTTAATTTTATGGTTTTGTCGTTCCCAGAGTAACCTTAAGAGGACAGCCAGATGAAGATGCAGTTCTTTGCACACAGTTGAAAACATATGCGGTTAAGTTTGTTGGAACCTCTAACTCTGTATTCCTTATACCTCCCTCAGATCAATCAGTTTCGCATGAAAAACCATTAGATTGTGATGAGAAAGATCATGACAAGATGGTGATTGCATCTGTCATCAAAGTGGCACCTGGTAGCATGGAGTTGATTGAGGTTGCTCCCAGATTAGACAAGCTTAAATTGCTTCTCTCGGAGAATCCTTATGGGGCAGATGAGGTGATAGAGGTCGAGGATTTGGAGGGAATGGAAAAGATTAATACAGGTTTGTATAGGTGGGATGATCTAATTGAGAGGGTACAAGCTAGTGACGAGGAATTGAGGTCTGGATTACGAGCTCTTTCAGCGGTAGAGATTGATGGATATTGGAGAATTGTGGATGAGAAGTATATGGACGGGATTCTGAACATGCTTTTCCACAATTTGATATTAAATGACTGGTCATATAATGCACTTAATGAAGATGAAGTTGTGGGTGTGCTAGAATTAGATGGGTATCCTCGAAAAGTTGCATGTCACTGTTTGCAAGTTTATGCTAGTAAGGTGGATGGGGTTGCCAGTGGAAGTTGCTTGTGGAAGTTGGATGAGAAACGAGTTTGCCTTCATTTTGCTAGAGGAATCTTGAGAGGAGGGAAGAAGAAAATGGAGAGTTTCATGGAGGAGTGGATTCGAAAGGTTCCTGAAGGAATGCAAGTGAATTTTAACATGTTGGAGGGGGAAGTTCTAATAGAAAAGCTTGGAATAGAGAGTTGGGTATATGCCTTCAGTGTTTCTTCTCTGCCCTCCACACCTGCTGATCGATTCTCAATACTCTTTCGAGAGAGACAAAAATGGGAGTGGAAGGATCTACACCCTTACATCAGGTCTATTCTTGGCTTGACTAATAATTTCTTTACTCAACTCAACAAAACCTTTACCCCAACCATTTGGGGTTGGCTTAATGAATTCTGTTTCTCCATTGTGCTTTATTAAGTACCATATTTTATATTAATCAATTCCCACTTTTATTGCCTGCTCATTCTTCTTATTGACATTATTGTTATAGGGATCTAAGTGTACCTGGACTTTCTTCGGATGGGTTACTTCTCAAGTACACTCGGAGAACTCAGCCAACCCTGGATGCAGAACCTGTTTTTAGTGCAAGGTAGTCTAATTTTAGACACTCAGAAGTTCTTTGGTGTTTTGTGTTTCCTTTGTTGGTTCATGGTTGAAGCTTCAGCCCACCCTAAGGTGTGTACTGCACTCAAAATTTCAAATATTTATATGTTTGTTGAGCGCAAACGGTTCTATAATCCTTGCTCTATGGCTATGAAATTCAGAAAGATTACCTTGAGCATTTGGCCACCTAAAGCGTAGCTAGTCTATGTCGGATTTATGAGAAGCAAATGGTAGGCAATCTTAACCCCGTTTTGGAGAAGCTAGTTCTTTAACGTAAACCTGTAATATATCGCTTGGACTGATGTGATTATGCCATCGCTACAGACCTCTATCTGGCAGATTACCTACTAAACAAATTCCCATTACTTGCAACGGCTTGAGAACAAGTTTTTTTACCTAAAAATCATAGTTTTGGAGGAGCTTTATTATCCCAAATTGAATCCCAAGGATTTATATGTGGAACAAAGAAGCTGGAGGTTCTCTTGTAGGCTTAAAAGGGACTACCTTGAATGATAGTCTGTGGGCAGATTTTTTAGAGTTCAATGAGAAGATTTGATTAGATTGGCAACAAGATATTCTAACTATACTATATATTTCAATTTCCTCTCTGGTTCGATGAAATGAAGATCATTTACATTGGGATTAGGATATTTATGAAGAATAAGTTTTTCATGATTTGTCCAGATTCAAATTTAAGATGTTTAAATTTATAGTTTGTCTCTATTATTACTTGAGTTATTTTTTTTTTCTTCATGATAACTCGAATTAGTCCCAACAAGTACGTTATTTTAGTGAATATGATTTGTATTTCAAACGTGTGTAATTGCCTACAAGTCGGATTTTGCTTGCGAAAGACAAACTTATGGTCTTAAGGTAAACATTTAGCAACTTCTTGATGGTTGGGCCTCTCAATCGTATTAGGTGAGGCGACTTTGTGTTGAGTTTTAGTTGATTCGTGTTAAAAAATATTTTACTTATATCTGATTCGTTTATTAATTTATGTCACATCGGATTTGTATTGTGTATAACTGGTATATAAACAAGTCGTGTTATGTATTTCTTCTAATTGTATTTATTTATTCCCAATTTGTTTATTAGTCATGTCATGTCGGATTAACTCATTTATTAAACGAATGACTTAAGAAAGATTCAAATTTTCAAATTTTATGTCGTGATAACGAGTCGTATTATATTTTGACACTCCTATTGATGATAGTAGTACTAGAGTTGTCTAATGGTACCAAAAGTAATATTTTGATATTACACCAAAGAATAATTTATAGTCATAAATCTGGCTTTAACTTACTTATAACAATTGCTCGTGAAAATAATAAAATAAGAAAATTTTAGACATGTCAGAGGAAAAAATGTATGACATCAAAATTAATGAATTGGTTTTGTGATGGCAAGGAATGGGGAGAGCGACGGTGATGGCAATAGCTGTAAGGGTAGCTGAGCCTGAGATATTGCAACTAATGAAGATGGTAGTTAGGGTGGCATCAATTAGTTCTTTTTTGGTTTGATCAAAAATAGATTATTTATGTCGAGATTAAAATATTTTTATTTGATTTTAAAGAGTTGTCAAGATTTAAATTCAGAACGGTTGAGTTTATAGTTTATCTTTTTAACAACACCTTATGAGTAGTCTTTATGCTAAAAGGTTTAATGAAGATGATCAACTCTACTTTAAGTAACATGACACATTTTTTGTTTTTCAGTACCATACCACAAAGTAACAAAAAAAATAATCTAAAAGTTGATATATTTTGCTCCAAAAAAGGTGATAAGTAAACCTAAGAGCTAAGTGCATCCCAAAAATTAATAAAATTAAAACTAAAAAATGATATAAATACTAAAAAAGTGATAAGTGGTACGATATTAAAAAAAATTCCTCATAGTTTCCAAATTTATTATGATATTGAATACTTAAGTTTATTTTGTAGTCAATTTGTGTAATCGTTAATCGACTAATCAAATTTTATATATTTTTGTAAAATATTAACCTAAGAAATTGAAGATTGGAATTTCGTTTATTAGGACATAAAACACGTGACAACAAAACCAAAAAACCCACTCGACCATAACCCACCTTCTTTGACCAAGGATAAGATGGTAATAAAGCAAAATGGAAAATGATATGATGGTTGTTTAACAGTGTTTGGGAGGTTAGCAGTTGGTCTTATGGACACCGCCCTCACTGTTGAACCGTAAGTTCGCGGGTTTGAATTTTGTCGTTTCTCTCTACTGTATTAATGCATGACCCAAAAAAAAAAAAACCAGCATTTGGGATTAAGATCAATTTATGAAACCACAAAGCCAGAGTGTAATTTTGTGAATTCTCGAGGGGTGTTATCATAATATTTACTATTATTGTAACCTAGGTTAATTATATTGGAGGTCCCAAAATATAAAATTTATCTCATTTTAGTCTATAATATTTAAATTACATCATTTTAGTTCTTGAATTATTGAATATATTTTTATGTAATCCCTCAAAGTCCAAATCATGTGATAAATTTATGATAAAAAATAATTAGTAATCTAACTGTTGTTTGTTTGAGAGATCATATAGAAATATATTCAATAACTCAGAGACTAATAACTCTTGAACTAATGTGCTTACTATATCTGGGTACTATAGTAACAACTTGGTGTCTGAAGACATTCTATACAAAAAATTGAATATTAATCGTGTAATATTTATATTTTTAATAATAATTAATTTTTAATTATGTAATTTAAAATTAAATTGATTAGAAAAAAATAAGATAAATGTAGGAAAGAGAGAAGAGAGAGGTGGATGTGGATTAGTGCGAGTATTTGATATTATGGAGTATGTTGATTGAGTTGTCTGATATTGGGAGTCATGCTGAGAAGATGATGTTTTTGAGTAGAAAAATAAATTTGAGAATGAATTATGTACCATTGGATCAAAATAGATTAAAATTAAATCATTATTAACCGTTGTTGTACTTTTATAAATAAAGAATTCAATATATATAAGGTTAGAACACACTTCTGCTTCCAGTTTTGCTTTAAAATTTTCAATCTTTTCAATTAATATTGAATTTGCTAATTGCTCCTGAATTCTTTTGTGATTAATTTAATCTTTAAGAAATTTTACTTGGTTACTTGTCTGAGTTATTAGATTAAGATACTTTGAGATTGAATAATCTTTCAGTTGCCTTATTTTTTAACTTGTGATTTTGTTAAAAATTTAAATGTTACTGATTGACCAAATGACTTGGTTGTTACTCCTTCAATATTTGTTGTAAAAGGGTGCAATAGATAGATGAATGGTAAACCAATAATAACTCTATTAGTCATATTTTGTACTAAGACAATTGATGTTTTAAAATATATATTATCTTGACAAATATACACATTTGGTAACTTGTATTTTACTACCATTTGCCTAACTGAGTCTCTTAGTTGTCTTTTGGTAATATCTAGTTGGTAATAGCCCTTCTTGGATGTAGTTAAGATCTACACCTGTATCAATTAAAGCTACTACATCAATTTTATAGTTGTTGTCAACTATGATTTTAACTTTGGAATGCCATTTTTGGAAGTTTAACTTGTTAATTAAGTTAATCCTGTTATCATCCTTACTAGTTTGTGAACATCTATCTTGAGATGGCAGCTACGTTATACCCATAGGATCCACTAGAAAGGTGAAGGTTATGGGTATCCGCAGGGAACATGTTTTGGCTGGACTATGTGAGCTATCTGAGTTTTCTTGTTCAGTTTCAGATTGCTCTTTAAGATCGAAGTCCTCGGATTTACTATAATTATTTTTGGCTTGTAAAAGATTTAAAGCTCATTCTAATTTCTTATCTTGTGTTTTTAAATCTTTTATTTCTTGTTTTAACTTGTTAACTTCATGTTGGAGATCCTGTAAGGTTACTTCTTTCTTTTTCTTCTTACTGAATTTTTTCATTGTTTTGTTAAAATTAATTAACTATTTTTCACTAGAATATTGTTTAATGTCCTTTTTAACAAACAAATCTTTGAGTTGTTTGATATATTTAACTTTGAGATCTGGATCTTCTATTTTACTAATAAGATCAATGAGGATATGTTCTTCCTCCACTTGCGTAGTTATAACTCTAATTGTATTTCAACAATTATCTTTACAACCTAATTTTATCTCAGGTTCACTGGAGTTACTAGACATTGACTGATAATCTGAAGAACTTTCAGCGCTGCTTGAGTCATTTGAACTTTCTTCATTTTGACTAAGGTTGCTTAACTTAAAGATATTAAGAATTTCTTCTTCTTTATCTCTAGTTAATTTTAACTGTTTTATCTTTTTTTTAACTCGACATTCTGGGCTGATATGACATTTCTTTCCACAGTTAAAACATTCAATTTCTTTGTTATCTTTTTTCCTTGGCTTTTTTTTATAAGTTTTATGCTTATAAGACTTCCTAAGTTTTTTACTAGATTTTTCATAATACTCTTGTTTTGGAAAATTTTTTTTGCTTCTTTTATAATAATGTTTACTTTTGCGATAAGGCTTATGTGACTTAGGTTTTCTGTTAAATAGTGTTACTAAAGGGAGACCATATTGTTCACAGAAATTACTTATTTCATATTTAGGATTTTTCTTATCGTCCTTTAACTGTTTGCTAATTTTCATATCAATATACATTCTCATTCTTTCCTTTTGAATGGTACTGATACGATCACCATATGTTAACTGATCATATTCAATGATCCCTGTTGATTTACTTAGTGCTTCTCTAATCTTATGTGCAAAAAGATTAAGTAAACTATTAATGAATTTTTCTTTCCAGAAAAATTTATTGCAATCTGGTCTGAGCATTACTCTGGAGACAAATACATCTTTATATCACCTAAAATCACTAAGTGTTGGATATCTTAGATTACTCAACTGGTCATGGATTCTTGCTTCTACGCTACTAGTTGTGCCTATAAAGTGTTTAATTATTGTGTAGATGAGATTATTAGCTCCATCTGGTTTTGCTCTTCCAACTCTTTTATCAAAGATTGATATATTTTCATCATCTAGTTCAACAACAAATCTGATACTGTCTCTAGATTCTTGGTTAAGGTAGTTATCCCACCAGTTTCTTAACATTCCTGTGAAACCGAAGGTAATTAGGTTAACTATTTCTGATTCAGTGTTATCAAGATTGTTAACATAACTGTGGATAACCATGGACATGTGCCTAATCTTATTAAGTATTGCTTGCTCACTCAACCCAGCTTTGTTTCATTCATAGAGTTTGTTGGATTGAACTGAGAATTAATTATTAATGTTCTTTTCTTCAAATTGAAGATTAGGTGGTGTTGGTCTTGGATACT